AAACCCAAAGACTTTGGTTTACCGGGCACAAAATGAAGAAAATAAAAAAAAAGCGCCGTGCGCGGAATCCGATGGCGCGATGGCGATAACTGGACTGACCGTTCGTGTGCATGCACGAACGAATTAACTCTTTCCTGCATTTCGTAGCGTAGCTGTTTTATTTTTTGTAATGCCTGTCTGCAACTGCGCCTCGACAACACACATTGTACCTGATCTGTTTTGTACGTGCAGTGTGCATCCAGTTTCTTTTGATCGTGAATTTGCCTAAAGGGACGTTGCTTACAACCTCACACACACACATATATATACAGGGTATACCCTCCTAATTACGCACATTAATTAAGCCACCTCGAGGAGAAAAAATCGTTTGCTTTCGGAATGCCATTAATAATTCATAAATCGGTAGCCTCGGCTATGCCACCTGACGCAGTGATTCGACTTGCCATCGACGATACACACCACAACGCTTCGATTTTTCAATCGCTTTCAATCGATCCTGTAAATACTGCACATTAAGCGCGCGCACCTCGCGGGCAATTTTAAATTTACTGGTTTTTAATAAGCCTCATTTTTCCACATGCATTATGCGCGCATTGTGTAATAACAGATCGCACCGAGACGTGCATGGCGCGCAGGAGCCTCGTCTCCGGCATTAATAATTGATTAGGAAAACGCTTACGTTGCGCGGCGTGCTTGCACTTCGTGTGGTGGTTACCGTGTCTGTTGATTACGATCGATTACCTCTTTTACCCGACCGCCGCAGCCACTCCATGCCACACATGCACGGCACATATACAACAAGATGGCGGCGACGTATTTTGCGTTTGATTGAATTATTGAATTTGTGTGCCAGCGACGTTTAATTTGCATACGGGTCTTGTATGCATAACACGAAATTATCTACAACTACTATACTAACATAACATATATTTTTCGCAATCGCAATCGCAACAGCGACGACAATCAAATAAAATCGCAAATTTACGGCGCCGGCGCCATGCAGAAATCGCCGCGCTAAAATTAATAGTCGAAGTTAATTCCATTAATTTTATGTGCGCATTCACTCGTGCGAGCCGGCCAACCCTTTGGCGGGCGCGGGGTCGTTTAATGACCTTTGATATCGTGCGATTTTCGCGTTTCGCGCCGGCTTCAAAGCGCGTGCGGTGCGCTTAACGTATGCAAATGAAAAGGAAGTGTCCCTTCGCCGCTGCGTGCGGCTGGCTATTAATTGAAAGCATAAAAAAGTGCACGCATGTACCGAATGGCCCAAGATGATGCAGGAGAGGTATGTAAACGACGTTGGAATCGTGTAAATAACACGTAAATCCCACAATGACCCCAACCCGGACGAGCCGAGAATAAAAATAAGAACAAGAAGGGTTCGTGGGATAGAGGAACCCGCATAGCAGGTGGTCCCCCTTGTAATCTACTTCCTTCTTGAGTTCGCCCCGGAAAGAAAGCCCACGGTAGGTTTATTCAAATTTGAAAAATTTTAAACAAGCCGCAGTTCTGGGCGATTTTTGCACGATATACCCGGTGAGTTATGGATGGTTGCTGTCGAAGTGTCCAAGAAGGCGCATCGATAACACATCGAAGCGTCTCGCGAGTTCACTACCTTTATATACCTTGGTGGTGAGTGAAGTTGAAGCGTCGCCCCGAATATAAACGACATACGCGCGGACCATAAATCAACGACGTGCCAGCATACTCTCCTCGGCGAGGATGTGTCGGCATGGAAGGGTAACGTCTCGCCCGATCCATCCGTGCGGGCATACTGTTTTCATTGTGTCGCATTCATGAATGCGCGGTGAACTCCAACACGGTTTAAAGGTAGTGTGTGTGTAGAAGTGTGTGCAGGCCAACAACCCTTTTATCGACGCGCCTTTCGCGCAGCCCGAAAAGAAGCACCGCGCGCGCGCGCGCTCCTTTTTCATGCAAAAATCCCAACTCGCATCGCCAACGGTGCGGAGCGGGCTCTCTGTATGCAAATTTATTAAATGCATTGATTACATGGAAGGATGGAGACCGGGTACGTGCACCGATCCGGGTGTGGAATTAATCGAAATTCAAATTCGATCGGAATAATTCGCATAACAATTACGCAAGTTACAAGTTATAGGTAGTGTTTTCCCAGCACCTCATATTTTCCCAGGTCTATATTTAAATGAGCGTCTTATCGATGCCAGAGGAAGAACCAAATTTGCATGCGGATGTGTGTTAGGTACGAAATCAATTTGTATCAATATGTGTTGGATTTTTGACGACGGGATTACTAACCATCTAAGGTTCCCACAGTGCAAAAAGAACGAAAAAAACGTTGGTCGGATTTCTTCGCCTTGCGGATTAATTTCAGTAAGCAAATTTCACGACGCCAGAAGGTAAAAGTTTGTCATCGTATAAAACGCGCCGCGACTGCATTTCTCCGCGCCACGCGGCGCTCTACTTATATGAATGCGCTTATGAAATTCTAATGCTCGCGGTGTGCGTTTCGGCTTTGTGGAAACGATTATTTGGCGAGATTAAATGCGGACGTGGCCGTGGCTGTGTGTGTGTGTGTGCGAGCATTAAAACATTCCAACCGGGGTTTTAATATCGCGGCCCGCAAAAGCCTTTGCCGCCGAAGAAGGAGCGGAGCCCGCGCCGCTGCACATCGCATGCAATGCTATCGCGCGAAAACGCGCCAAGGCATCCATGCAGAAGCGACCGCAGAGAAAACGCAAATATTTACGACGCAAAAATTTCATAATCGTAAGCTTTTTAATAAAGAACAACTCGTATTATAATAATGTCGAATGCTGCGGTACGCGCAGGAATTGCTTCGGCGCGGGAATGTCGTAAATTTTTAACTATTTGTTGACGTTTTGCAGATTTTAACCGTTTGGATTACGGAAATCGCATGCGTACCTTGCGGAAAAGAACACAATTGTTGGAATTTGTGAGTAATTAGCGGGGAAAACATTCTTACAGTCTGAGGAAATCGTCGAATACCATCTACATTGCAACATTTTTGCTATATCCACAACAAATGTTCTAAATTTTTGCAAAAAACTACTTGAAATTACAAAAAAACCAAGAAAGTTTATTTTGAGTTAAATGGAACAAAAAAACATATTTTCCGTTTTGTGAAGTTATTTTTAGAATTTCTTTCTGTTGATATTTGCACTCATTATGTCCTCGGTTTTTCCACAAACGAAATGGAAATTAAAGCGAATTAAAGCGGAGCGAGCAGTGGCCGCGTCGCGCTCGCAGAGCAAGAAAAAAGGGAAATGATGAATAAATTAGAATGGAAATTAGTGACGTAGCTACGCGCGCGCCGGCTCTTAATGCGCCCCGTGACGTCACTGCGTTGCGTCGTCGGCGGCGCGATGAACTTTCTCTTAACTTTCATTAGCAAAGAACAACCCTGATCTTGTCCAACTTTTTCATCGACCCGAGCGGACCGCGTGGCGTCGGCAGCGGCCACGGACCGGGTAACCGAGAGCGCGAGTACGCTCGAGCGGCGGCGGCGGCAGTCAATTAGTTGTAATTGACGCCGTCGGAGGGCTAATAAATGAACGCCGGCGAGAGCGGCAGAAAGCGGCGAGAAGGATGCAAGACGACGAGACAGGCGCACTCGGCGGCGCGTCGGAAGGATGCACGACGTTTAGTCGCTTAACGAGCAAGACAAGACGCAGGCAAGCTGGCGTAGGTCGGGGGCGGCCGCGGGAAATTAATTCGCTCAACGGCGGCAGCAGCGCAGAACGCGACGAACTTCATTAGGGAACGCTTCGCTGGCGTCTGCATGTGCGACGATGTTTAACCGGGTGGAAAATAATCAAAATCATGCGATCATCATCGAACGGTTGTGATTTTTTCTTCTTTTTTAATAAGCAATAATCTTAAAAATTGCATATTAAGATTGAATTTCTTATGAAAAGCATAGTAAAATAAAACGAGGACGAAAAATAGAAGACGAAGTAAAGTACTACATGTAATTCCGGGATTTGATTAAAAATCGTACGAACGAATCGCACATCCTGAATCCAATCAAAGCGAGCGCGCGAGTTGCTATCGGATAACTGCCGCCCCCCGGCGAGCATGTCGTCGTCTTCACTCATATCACCTCCCAGCGTTACCACCCCCGCAACGTATCACAAGCGCGAGCATCCCTCTTACAATTCCTTCAATTCGCGACTTGAGACGCGTTCGCATTCTGATCGATCTCAGGGAAAGAACGAATCTCGAAAGTATTTCGTTGTGCGCGGCGAAGTGTCAGAGCGAGCGCTAAAGCGTTTTGTCCTTTCCGGGCGGAATTGCGAAAAAGCGCCTCCTTCGCTTGCTAGTTTTCGGAAAAGCGCGCGGCGGCGGCAAGAAAACGAGCGCACACGTAGCACAAGGGTGTGCGCGCGGGTTGGGGGTTGGTTCCGACTGCAATGCATCCAATCTCGCCGACGCGGCGCGCTCGTGTGTCGCATACGTCACCAACCAGACGGATTTTATTGCATTTTCTTTCCATTTCCCAACGCAGGCAGCCAGCGCTCGCGTGGAGCAATATAAAAGATGGTCGACGTCGACACTCAGCTACCGCCGGGTTAGAGAGCTGGAAGCCTGGAATCGATGCCTGGCCCACCCATCCCGGGGATGAATGTGTGTGCACGCCGCCGCTGCCGCCGCCAAGCCTCGCCTCTCCCGGATTGATAAATTACGTAACGCACAGGCCGGCAGGAGAAAATTCCGCTCGCGTCAGTCCCAAAGCGCGCACAATATAACTACACACAATGATTGTAATGTAATCAACAATCAGGCGACGAGATGTCGTCGGTTGAGAGTGAAATGTTTAAGACGCTGGCATGCAAACCGTCTGTCCCGCGCGAAATTAACGACGCGCATTAACGTCAATGGATGGAAGTCGCGCGATGCAATTAGATGCGGAATTATGCGACATGCCGGAATGTTTACGTTCGCTTAAGACGAATTATTTCATGCGCAGACAATCATTTTGATTAGATCTATATATTTACCATCGCAGCAATATCATCAACACTGACCTGCAACAAAAAAAAAAATAGAAATCAAATGAACTCATTTGTAGCACAATAAATTAAAAATCTTAAGCGATACTTGTGAAACGTTGATACGCAACATAATGAGTACCATTTGCAGTCAAATTAAGTCAAGATTAGTACTACTCCACAACGATCGACAGCACACTTTAACTTATACGCCGCTTGCCCAAGATACAAGTAACGCATGCATACGTATTAGATGGAAATTAATCCGATGGCGCGGTAATGAAACAGTAGCGCAGCAGCAGCAGCACGATGAGGCAATCGCCGATGAGCGCGATATTAGATGCCGTTATCTGCGTATCTTAATTAGATATCATTAGAGTGATAGCGCACACAGATTTCGAGCTGTGCGCTGCTCTGCTTCCATCATCTTCGACAGAGATTATAAACTACTGCGGTTGGTGTCGTGTAATCAACATAATTCCGGTAGTAGACGAAGAATTCTAATCACCTGTTTCGTTCGCCACGGTGTATCATTAATTATACAATGTAAGAGTGAAAATTTTTGATATATTATGATTGTTAACCAAAAGAAAAATAGGTTTTTAATAAAAATATATTTTCTTCTTATTTGGAGAAAACATGTAAAACCAAATTTGGCATATTTGCTTGTTAGAACCATGTTCAAACAAATATTTTCCCTGAGCTAACAATGCATGAATTTAAATTGTTCGCTCCGCTAACAAGGCGCGCAATATTAATACAGCGAATGTTACATTTTTCTTATCATTACGTTAATCTCTCAACCCGCGATGCGATGCGTTCAGCGCGCATTGCGTTGAAAATAGATGCAGATTGTAATTGCAGGATTGATCAAAGTAAAATTGCAAATAAACGCGCATATCGCGCGCGCGCGGACGGCGTGCCTTTATCTACGCGATAGTAGCAAGGAACCTGCGGCTCGCGAAATTATCTCCGCCTGCGATCTGTAGGCGCGCGAGGAGTGAATAATAATGGCGCGTACAACAATGGACCGCGAGACGCGAGCAATTTTAATTAAGTTCACATTCCGATGGACTAGGCGGAAAGTATGCGCGCGATGCCGCCGCCTCTGCCGCCGGCCGGCGAGTAGGAGTCGCGATAATAACAAGAAGCGCGCCGACACAACGCGAGAAGACAATTGAAACGAGTTCCTCTCTTGCGGGTGCTACCGCACAAACAACAAGCAAGCAAGCAAGCAAGGCATCAATCTGCATCTAGTCTTGTCTCCTGTCGTGTTGTGCTGCGCGCAGGCAAAAAAAAAATCATCAACATTCAATCAAAACATGTTTACGTTGGCGGAATATTGCGTTTTCTTCTGTTTCTTCATCGCAATTTTATTTGATTCCATTCAAGAGATACCTTTTCGTATTCGTTTCATATCATTTGTCGCCGGCACGACTTTATTCCGCGCGTTTGTTGAAAATGTACATGGAAGAATGTAATATCGCGCACGGTGGCGGCAGTAGAGTGACGTTGTGAGACGCAGGCATCGCGGAAGATTGAGCAAGTCGGGAGCGCGCGCACCAGAGAAAATAACGCGCGGGCGGGCGTAAACGTAAAGCGATATTAAAATTGATTGTTTTTACGTTCGAATGATTTTTTAAGGAAGCGCAATATCGTCTCGCGTCGTCTAACGTCGCCCGTTCAGGCTTCACTCCACCGCGCGCGCGCTCCTCCACGCTTTTCCACCCAAAGAGCGCCGAGTCGAGTCGTTTATTCCGAATCTGCCGCTCGGCGAAGCTGAAGCTGGCTTTGCTTTCGTACGAAAACAAAAAAATACTTTCTGTGTACGACGGCGACGCTTGTAAAAAAGTACAAAAAACTGATGGGGGCGCATTCTTTTTGTCTTCAGGTGCTGTACCAGAGCGGAGAGATTCACAAAAAGGACGTGTAACGTGTACGAAGCGATAAAAATGCAGGGACAAAAACCGATGGCGGAAAAAATGATGCAAAAGAAATAATAAAAACAAGAAAAAATCATCATCCCTTTAACGCAGGGCGGGCCTTAACGAGCATAAAAATCTCCGAGCGATAAAATCTCTTTATGTCTAGTTATGTCTACTTCGCGAAAGTTGAGTTAATGTGGCCGTTCTCTTGCTCGCGAAGAAGAAATTGGAAATTGGAAACGATCGTCGCGAGAGGAGGAAAATAAGTATCGAGTGCCGCGACGTGTGTGTATATTAATCGACTCTTAAAGTAGGGAGTTTGCGAACTCGTAAAGCGACGTAAAGTTTAATTGCGTCGCTCGGCTATTATTTGCGCTTCGCGATCACGCTAACGTTCGATGACTTTGAGCCGCGGAGAAAAGGCAATCTGCACGAAATGTAAAAATACGACGATTCTACGATTCAACAAAAACGCTAAATTTTGATTTTTTTAATATTGAAAAATCTGCTTAGATGTTAGAAATGTTCGAATTCTAGTCGGATTAGACGACTCTCCTGGCTTAAATCCGTCATTAAATAGAGCTGAGGGCAAAGATCCGGCCATCCCCTCTTGCCGGAATCTTCGAGCACGCGTTGCCGCCGCCGTCGCCGCTGCCGGAACAATAGACGTGAAGAGGCACGTAAAAGACAAGGGCCTAAGGATGTGCCGAAGCCCAGCGATGCGCAACGCAACGTGAAGAAGCAAGAAGCAAAAAGAAAGCACACGCATAAAAATACACTGCACGAAGAGGGGTGCTCTTCTTCTTCTTCACAGCGAAATAAAAAGCGGAAGAAGCGGAAGAAAAAGGGACTTCTGATCCTACTCTCTCGGCGTGTATATTTTTTCTCTGCTGGTGGTGGATGCCGAGGGCAAGCAAGCACACTTGTGTCGAGTCTTTACCTGCGTGTCGTGTGCATGCAAGAGAAACGCAAAGAAAAAAAAAAGAAGAAAGCAACGCATAACGAAAGCTTCTCGTTGTTATAATAAGGGGTAAAATATGCTCGCTGCCAGCAAGATTCACACAGTTTCCGCGTGTACAGTGTGTCACAAAATTAATTATCTGTCAATTTCCAACCGAAAATAAAACTAAATTTTTTTAACAAGAAGTTTGCTTTATAATAACAAGATAAAGAATGAAACCACACCATAGGCGAATAATTGAACGTAATTCTTGGAGTTTTTAGGGGTAAAGTTCATGCCTGCACCCTGATTATTTGCACACGACGAACATCACGCGATTTAATATAACAGCTTACACCGAGGTAAGGTGATTTCGTTGTTTAAATATTTATTTCATTTTTGCTCGCGCGCGTTTCCCGGCGGCGCCTTGTGGAGGAACGTGCGGCGACATCGCGATATTAGGGCGCGCCGCCGTCTAATGACAACGCGACGCTCACATTCATGCATAACGAATGCGAGTGCTGGAAAATTATGCCAAATTATTCGAGCGTTTTCGAGGTGCGCGAGCCGCGAAATTATAACGAAACGCAAATGCCTAGCTAGTCCAACATGTACGGTTGTATCGAGTTAATATTTAAAGATAATTAGATGAAATTTAATCGAATCCATTTGCAGCCAGCGCGTAGTCGTCGTCGATGGTGGCGGCGAGCAAATCGAATATTCGAGCCGCGAGCAAGAAGAATTTCGCTCGCGATGGCTTATTGGATTTGTTTAGTGCGCGAATTCGTATTCGAAGGCAAAGTTGCAAATGTAAGTAGCTCGAGGGCGAGAAATAAAAATAAGTAACGCGCGCTGCCGAGTGCGGGAGCGGGACCCCGGCGACGGAAAACGCGGAGCGATGAATGAAGGAAATTGGTGCGCATTAAGACTAGTCCTGAAGTCAGCACAGCATCGACCAGAAAATAGAAGAAATTGAGAAAAAATTCAATTTTATATTTAAAATGTTACTAGATATTTTCATAAATACAGCGCGCCGAGGGTATTTTAAAATTTAGATTTTTATATTTTGTTCGTTTTGCGTAACAATGTTGAATATTCCATATTACAAGCGAAGAAATAACGAAGGAAAATTTACTGAATTTGCGCTGTGTGTGTGTGTGTGTGAGAAGACGTGTGCTGAAATCGAAAAACTGGGAGGTTTTCGCCGAGCTCACATCCCGGGCTAGCTCCACTCTGTCGGCGGTGGCTGGAGAATGGAAAAATGTAAATGCGAACGCTTTCTCCTGCACAAGCCGAACGAACAAGCAAACGTTGTTGGGAAGAAAAACGCTCGGCGAAAATAAAACGATGAACATATCCAATAAGGCTTTAACCTGCGGGGAACAACCGGTCGTCTAGGCAACACACGGGTGGCGCGCGCGAGCAGCGTACATAGCTATAACCTCGTTTCACCGCTAGCGCCGCCGCCGCCGCCACCACCCGCTTCGACGACGACGACACAATTGTTTGCGCTCTCTCTCGTGTGTAGCGCGCGAGAGCTAGAAACGCCGCCGTATTTTACATATCAGCCTCCGCCCCCCGAACTTTTTTCCCGGCGCCTTCGAAGAAAGACGTTCGTCGAGGACGAAATATTTGCATTGCATCAGCCCGCCAGGACCTGCCCAGGGGCTGCGTGTGTTTAGAAGTATATATATTTCTCTGTGTGTGAGTGTGTGACTATGGCGGATCCAATTCGGGCGCGATTTTTCCTCGAGTCAGCAAGTCGCATTTCATATCTCAGCACTCATAATGCATTCTCTTTTTCGCGAGGATTTCCTTTATATGCATGGATACTTATGTGTCGCATAAAATCAAAATTTTCTTGCGCGCCTACCCACCGTCGGAGGTTTTATATTCTCTCGCGGCTTTTTTTCTCTCAGCAATAAAATGTAAAATAGAAGACCCACATAGGCCGTGCGCCGCGACGCGCACAAAGAAATAAAGATGAGAAGGCGTCGCGCGAAATTGTCGAGCGAAAACATCAAATAAAAACAGGCGCGCACAAAGGAAATAAGGAAACCCGAAACCCACCTAAAACTTCCAAGCCGAAGACATTTTCTCCGACGAGATAATAACGCGCAATATGAGGAGGTTGTAAAATTTTCCACAAAGACCGTGAGGTGTGGGCGTGG